GAAGAATCCATATCTTTCCTTTCATTTGGGATGAATAGAATACTAATTAGTCCACTAATTGACTCTCTAACTGCCGACAACTTAACAGTAAATTGATGTCGAATCAATTGATAATATTATTAGAAATTTAGAGTCAACTTTTATGCAACTAATTGACATTGAATGGTGTGATAATATTGAAATAGAAATCGTCAACATTATCCCTTATTTTGTCGATAAATTGACGGCAAATTTCATCTGAAGAGTTGCGCACATTCAAGTTCGACAATGTACCGTCAATTTTTGCTACTAATTTGCAGTAAGTATTTCCGATAACCTGATGATAACTTTTCTGGGTTATCATCTCCATTTGGGATTAAATTGTCGTCATATTGACAGCAATCCGTCAGCCATTTTGAGGATAATAGTATCCAAGAATTGCTGGTAAATTTTAACTCATCGGACAATTTTGTTTACTGGGATGGTGTAGAAAATGATCACTTCTAATTGCGGACAAATTATTATGTTGTTTATTCTCAATCAATCAACATTATTGTTCGACAAAAAAATGAAAAATTTAGTTAGCTTGGTCAGAAACATCGATGTTTCGATTAATTGACAAACATCACCCATTCCTACTTGAGCCACCGTGCCGGACGCACGTGTTTCCCGTTCGCTCCCGATGAATTAAAGTGTTTTTCATGGAAAATCATCGTTTCAACGCAAAGTAAACTCCAAACTGACATAAATAATAAAGTGTAACAAATAATACAAAAAGTGTTCCATAGACATCTCGCCAAAAGCCAACTCCCACGTCAATCTCAGCTACTTAAAAGTTACTACAATGATCAAAAAATTAATTAACCAACAAGCCATCATCTTCGACAAAACCGTGCATGCAGAATTTGAGGAATACATCGTTGCTCTCCTCCAAGTAATTCCCGGTTCGAAAATTCTCGACGTTTCCATTTTGCCCAACGATCGCATCCGAATATTCCTCGACAGTAAAGAAACAGTAGATGAACTGATCGATTCTACGAAGTATATCACCGTATCACAACATATTGTACACATTCGCCCATACGTATCTAGGAACAAGAGAATCACATTCCATCATGTGTTTCCACAAGTTGAAAATACATTCCTGGAATCCGAATTGAAAAAATGTGGCATTGACATTTTGACTCCCATC